AACTTCAAGTACGCCGCCTTCTTTGCTTCCACTTTACCTTGGACCACTTCATTCCACCACCAGCCTCCTTTGTGCCCACCAGATACGCCCGTCGAGACCCCTAACACCTCTCTCGCAACCTCCCTAATATAGTCTGTTGTCGCTGACCACATAGTACTCGCGTCACCGCTGCTCCTCCAAGCTCCCATAGCCGACAACCGCCCCTCCAACGCTTGGCCTTTATCCTTAGTTAAGGCTCCCCACCTGATTCTCGGTCTTCCTCGAGTAGACCTTTTCCTCCTCTTTAACATAATACCAACGTCCATCACCAAGAGCCTATGCTGCGTCGCGAGTATCTCACCCGGAATCACCTTGCAATCCTTGCAACACCTCCGGAACAACAGATAGGCAAACCTCTTATTTTCTTTTTTGAGGGGATATAAGCCTTTTCTTTTATGGGGGAAAGGGAGGTACCATTAAGGATAATAAAAGTGAATTAGAAGTTAGTTTAAGCTATAGATAAAAAGATTTTGTGCAATAATCTATAATTCCTAACCTCATCCTTCTCGGATTTAGAAAATTGAAAATGCTGGTCTTTCCTGCTATCCTGGGACATTGTTATGACCGAGAGAATGCTGTTCCCCATGAGATCCACAGCCAAAGAGATGAACCAAGGAAACCACGATCGTGTTCCATATTTCCTTACCAGGAAGACATAAATAAGAGGTCTTAGGATGAACATAATCTCCCCGGTCACAAATAACCCTCCACGAGTACCTTTCTCAGATAAGAAGGTTGACAGACTGGGCTTTGTGATCACCTTAGCTGTAATAACATAAGGAAAGTTAACACATTAGGAAATAACTGTTTCACCAACAGAAGCAAAAGATTTTAGTTCAGCTGAAACCAATTATTACTTGGTGGTTCCAGAATTGCTTGCTGCTGTTGAACCCTGCGCAACCAAGTTGGCTCAGAAACCGTCCTAGCATTCTGACCGAAGTTACTTAAGGCGGACATCGCCCTACCTTCAAGATTCCATGAGTTCCAACCCTGAGGGTGATTGGCACCCGGTCCTTGATTTCGGATGGGCTTCGTTAAATGCCCCATGCTTTCTTGTGGACTGGAATCATCTGAATGTTCTAAGTTTTCAGTCTCCCCGCCTTGCAAAAGCATTTTATATCCTGTATTTCTGAAAGCTGCCAGCCTGACACACACCCTGGCATCCATTGGAAAACAAGTTGCAGTACAAATGTTTAATCATAAATTACCACTTGTAGGCGTTAGGATAATATTTGAGTTGAAGTTGAAATAAAGAATGTCCGAGGCTAAAGCTGGTAACTAAGTAGCGTGAAAGTTAAATACTCCCTCCGTTTCAATTTATGTGAACCTATTTCCTTTTTAGTCCGTGCCAAAAAGAATAACCTCTTTCCTTATTTGGAAACAATTTACTTTTATGCAATGATTTATAGCCACACAAAATATATGTGCCTCATTTTACACCACAAATTCAAAAGTCTTCTCTCTTTTCTTAAACTCCATTCCCAGTCAAATGGGTTCACATAAATTGAAACGAAGGGAGTATGTAACTTACTTGGCAGCCTCTGTAAGAACAATCAAATTCCATTTTTTGTCTTCACCATAGAGCTGCTCAGCTACTACTTCAATCAATGTTTCCAAGTCCCTCAGCAAAGTAAGGCATAATGACAAAGGGAGAATAGAAGTCTCTGCAGAACTTGTATGCGCTGGGGTTGGAACTGTCTCTATAATATGCTCATTTACGGTGGTAACCATTCCAAGGATCGAGGAGACTGCCAAAATTAGAGCGCAATAAATAAACATACCCGTGCGGAGCAGGAAAACCAACATAGCTAAAATAACTACATCAATAAGTTACTTATTTACATTAAAATGGCGCCCACGAAAAGAGTTACAAAGGGAACTAAACATCCTATGAAGAGTCAGGATACTCAATATTCAGTTTGATTGATTAAAATTGCAAAATTTTCACAAAATGACACCAGAAAGATTAACTGCCAGTATTTTTGTGCCTTGCTTCCTAAGAAGAGAAGCATGGTGGAAGCTAATTTAGAAAGAGAAAAGGTATTATTTTGAGTTGCATAAGCAGCAAGAAGAGGCCCAATGTTACCAAAATTTCAATTAAACCTGCTTCTGGCCCAATTTCTGATGCAGCAAACCGCTCTGGAAGAAGCCATGTCATTCCCTGGCCATACATTAGAAACCAGATTATCATCATCTACTAGATTTCATGCAATTGGCAATCAAACGGTGCTAATGACAATAATGACATATCTTTTTTTTTAATCAGTAAAAGTGAATGACAATAAAGAAACTTATATATACTACTGCAGGATCCAAAAAGGAAAAAATGAAAAAAAATTAGAAAGGGAGGCCTGCCAAATTTTGGCCATCTCCTTCATTCTTCAATATTTCAAATCTACCTTAACTAATCAAGATCTAAGCTGTGGTACAAAGTTCCATTAAACCCAAAAACTTTAGAAAAGACGATAGTCTTTACAATCTTGGCTTACTCAATCCCAAATATAGGGGCAGCACAAATATATGCTTTTCGTTTTTTTTTTTTTTATGGATGGGTCAGCCGGGAGAAGGGGAGAGGAGAGGTAGGATAAAGCAAAAGAACCTATACAAGCAGTTAAATCAAAATCAACTTCAGCACAGAAAAATTGCATAAAATATCAGTTTTCTTCAACTAACCCCCAAGTAATAGGCCTCACATGTTCGCAAGGTAACATATCCTTAAGAGTTTGCTAGCAATACATGGTTAGAACCACCTTCATTCCTCGAGCTGAATTAGAAAGGCTTCTAAGATAAGTCTGAATGGAGATTTAAAACCAACTCTTGGCGAAACAACCAATTCTTATTCTGGATAAATTTAATAGAAATATGTAAACCCCAAAAGAAAAATTAATTGAACAAACCTCCAACATAATAGATATATTGGCTTATTAAGAATATATTCAACTATGCCTCAATCCCCAACTTGTTGGGGACTTGGAGTCGGCTCTATGTCCCTTCCATTCTATTCGGCCCCTCTCATTCCAGTAATAAATAATTGATTCATCATAAATTAGCTATTTTTTACACAGAGCAACCCTCATCCCTTATCCAGATTTGAACCAGCTATCTACTATTCAGACACCAAAATCAGTTCCATTCTTGAAACTATCAACCCAAACTCAATATTAGTTCTCTCACACAATTGCCACTAACAAAATAGCATCAAGATGCAAGCTAGCAGCAGCCAAAAAGACTAACGCAATTAATCAGGACAAAAACCAAGAGGTAAAAAGACACTTGTGCTAACAACAATAGAAATTAAAAAATAAAACCAATAAATGTTAAGAGTTTAAGAGGAGGGGCTTACACTGGCTAGAGAACTCAATTGGCGAACATAATCACGATTCCTCCTAACCCATCTCTTGTAAGCCTCCATAGAAGCAAAAAGTTTGAATCTTTACTCCAAAAACAGTGTCTTTTATAATAGTAGCTCTTTTTAGCAGCACTCGATTGGGAGAAAAAAAGACCTAAAGCTGGAATTTTTTGAAGGTTTCAGATCAAACCCAGATGGATAAAAGCTGAGGGAATTGCCACTTCTTCTGAAATTTACTGCAAGTGACAGTATGCTTACGAAGGAGCTTGCACATAAACCGTCTCGAACGGATGAACAAGAACTGGGCAGTGGGCAGATGATAGTTGTGATGAGGGGTGTCGTTTTGTTAACTTATGATTTTCTTTTTCCCCTTTGTTTCTTTTTCTCTTGTGTCGCCTGCATAAACCAAGCTTAGTTAATTACTCCATTAAATATTTATAGTAATATTTTATGTCTATGGGTTAACATTCACTTAAATAAATTATGAGTTAGAATTCTTTTTGTTTTACATACTTCTTTGACGAATTCGTAGCATGAATTTTAAAATATTTATTTATAATTTTATTTTTATACAAATAACCAATTGTGTCTCAATCCAAAACAAGTTCATCACCTATATAGATCCTCACCATCATGTTTCCCTAGGTAAATATTTAAATTCATTAGTCCAATATAAGTAGCTTAGTACTCCCTCTGTCTCGTATTAATAGTAGTGGTAACTAAAAAATAGTTGTCTCAAATTATATGTCATTTTAAAAGTTCAAGACAAAATTGATTATTATTATTTTTATTTTTACCCTTAGTAATAATTGTCTTGAAGATAAAGATAACACATAAATAAAATAAATATTCAATAAAGAGAGATTATATCTTATGAAATAAATAAGGATAGAATAATTCAATCTCTTTCCTAATTAATATTTATTAAAACGGGTTTAAAAGAGAAACGCCACATGTACCGAGGGAGTACTACTTTTTCCTTGGGATGTAACAGCACAAAATATAGTTAATTCATATCACTTTAATCACTTATTAAAGTGTTGATTACAAAAACCAATAAAGAAAGTTAATTGTACTTGGATGTCAAAATCGACCTTAAAAACTTGCCAATGTCATTGTATATAGATTGTTTCCACTTATAAGTCGTTGTTTTATTTTTATGGAATAATGATCAAATATACTTTTCTATTTTAGTATATTGTTTATATTTATCCTCAATTATATTATTGGGTCATATCTATCCTTATCGTTAGTCAAATTTTTAAAGATACCCTCCACCCAACGAAAAGCCACCAGATTAATAAAATAATTATTTTTTAAAAAAATTATTAACCCATAACCCGTTAAACCCATCATTTAAAAATTCGGAACCTAAATTTCTGAGACGTCTTAACACATTTTATTTATTTAGATAGAGACAGACTAAGAATGATGGTGGAAGTAGGATTAGTAAGAAGAACTTATATTTTTGGTTATTAGTTGTTCATGGTGGTATTAGGATGTCATGTTATCACTTTCGTTTTTTTTTGTGTGTGGTGATAATATGACATTCCTTTGTCTAATGTAATGCACACTTGACAGTTGGTTTGTATGTTGGTAACAACTGATACAGGGGCAACTCAAATACATGTGTAGCCAAAATTTAATGTGAGGCCTTAATTTTTAAAAACTGATATGATAATTTTTTTTTGAAGTCAATTTTTCTAGTTTTTTGATATGCAAAGTTGTTAATAATTTTTTTTATAATCGATTCCTCTAATAAATCCTTTTCAAATGAGAGTATAGCAAATTTATTTAATCTTTCTTGAAACATTGTTGATCTTAGTAAGATTTTATCAATTATAATTTTGATTTTTTTAGGCAATTGTTATAAAAACAATTCTACTTTTGTACTAAAAGTACTAAATATTATTTTTTAAATACCTATAAACCTATTATGTAAAAATTACACGGGCGCCCTATTTAGTCGCCCCCATTTAACCCATACCCATATTTTTAAAATTCTTTAACCTACCCTAATTTTGACAACTTCCGAAGCCTCCTCTTCTTCCTCCTGACCTATGCGTTCCTTTCTTCCTCTTCTTCTTTTCCTCTTCTTCTTTTCTCTCTCAAACACATGAGACTTTGTATAAGTATTATTGATTGGATCTGTAAAATTTTTATTAAATCTTATCAACTACCATATTATATGTTGAAGGACGAGTAAATAAAACTCCACAAGCTGGTTAAAGTAGATGTGATTTGTGTCTTTCCCTGATCCATCCTTCTCAAACATACAACAACAACTGACTACTACATGTCCTCTCTTCCAAGTTACCTGCCACAAGAATGTCACATGCATGTGAAATTTATTATACACAATAGTTGCTCTCGCGATCTCTTGGAATTAGCTTACCCCTTGCTTTATGATATCATCCGCAGAAAAAACAACAGAAAAGGGCTGCAAAACTAAAAAAATAAAAGATAGGAAAAATAAGTTCAAAACATTATCAAAAAAATCAGTTAAAACTTTAGCACAATTTGGCTTAAGTTATATTTTAAAGCCATCTAACTTCAAAAAAAGGCAGAACACAGCTTCAGCTCTAAGACTACTGAAGTTTAGCAAATATAAAATAAAAACTTCAGCTCCTAGAATGCCGAATTTCAACAAATACAAAACAAAACTTCAACTCCTAGAATGTTGAAGTTCAACAATTACAAAAACAAAACTTCAGCTCCTAGAATACTGAAGTTCAGCAATTACAAAACAAAACTTCAGCTCCTAGAATACTGAAGTTCAGCAATTACAAAACAAAACTTCAGCTCCTAGAATGCTGAAGTTCAATAATTACAAAACAAAATTTTAGCTCCTAGAATGCTGAAGTTCAGCAATTACAAAATAAAAACTTCAGCCAAAATATACTGTAGTTTTATTGAACGGAAGTTTGCCATTGCACTATGAACTGAAGTTTGCATGATTGCCTTTGCAAATCAGGCCAAACTTCAGACAAAAATATCTGAAGTTTTGCTTTGATAAGGCTACACTTCAGGCAAAACATTTTGAAATTCAAACTTCAGACATAATTTTTTGCTACTTCAGGCCCGTATGTCTGAAGTTACCTGAAAAGTGGGCACGCTTGCAATTATTTTTGCAAAGCGGGTATAAGTTAAAATGTGATCCAAAAATTGGGTATAGATGCAAATCTATTTATGAAAAATGTGCCCCTCCAAATTTGAGGGCCTAAGGCACAAGCCTTACTTCTAATAACCTTAGAGCCGGTCCTAAACTGATATATATTTTAATAAGAGATTTTTTCTTTCCCATATAATATTTGAAACTTATTTACCAAAATTGTACAAATTTTATATATTATCCGTCCTAAACAAAGTTTGGTTACAAATTATATACAGTCCATTATTAATACCTTAAATTAGGGAATTCTAGAGTGCGATAAACTTTGCTAAAGCTGGCCCTGCATTCCAGGTTTGTTCCATCTCTATTTTGATCCATGAGATGTCTTCAAAGCTAATTTGCCTTGACGATACCTGTAGGGGTGGGAAGGGAATGTTCGTGCAAGCACACTATGCCTTCTCACTGTGAATAATATTTTTTAATGAGTGCAAATTTATACAGAGGTTAGTTTCATGGGCGCGAAGATCTATACAAGTATTGTTATTTCGATTTTGGTTATTGGGACTATTTACAGCCTGCAGAGAATGTTGCTCAAAGATTGGGTTTAGTCACTACTTTTAAAGCACTAATTTGGCCCTTAGCTTCAGGTCGTTACTTCAGGTCGTTAATAGTGTTTCTCTACCATGATTATAGACGGTACATGCATTTCGCATTTGCAAATCCCTCCTTCCTGCCAAACCAATAGACAAATATAGAAAACAAGCGAGATAAAAAGACGTTTTCAAGTTATCAAAGAAAAGAAAAGATAAGGATACCCAACACAACAACATGTAAACTAAAAATAAATTTTATATAACTAATTATATAATACAATTTACTTATAACTTATCTACAATTTTCAAACATCATTTCTACTCAGTTAAATATAATTACAACATCACACAACTTAAATATAATTTTTCATACAAATTTTATACAATATGTCTTTTGTATGTATTTTGTATATGATTTGTATATATTTTGTAAGTGGTATGTTCTTCTTCCTCTCTGAAATTCCAATCAAAACTTCATCTCTTAAAACAATTTTGATACATATCAACAACTTTATGTAAAAAGACACCCTCCGTTACAATTTATGTGAACCTGTTTGATTTGACACGGAGTTTAAGAAAAAATGAAGACTTTGGGAACTTATGATTTTAAACAAGTCAAAAAGAGGTCCAGAGTATTTATATGGTTATAAAAGCTTTTCCTTAAGGTTAGAATTGGAAGTTTAAGCTAATCTGTTTCCAAATTTAGAAAGATATCATTCTTTTTGGAACGGACAAAAAAGAAAATAGTTTCACATAAACTGGAACGGAGGGAGTAGTATTTATAACTTAAATACAAATTTCATACGACAATTCATACATTATACAATTATTTTTTAACTTTCATACAATAGTTAAATAAAAAAACATATAATTACAACAAAATACAACTTAAATACAATTTACATACAACTTTAATACAGTTTCGTAAGTATATTGTATGTCATGTGTTCTTCTCTTCTTCTTATTCGAGTTTCAGTCTGAAATTCAACCCAAATTAAGTCTAATTTTCATCAAACACCCTCAAAATTGAGATATAAAGTCCAAAGAATATTTTTAATTATTTGCAACAACACCCAATCCAAACAAACAATAGTTTTTGAAAACCCAAATTCGAATTCAAAGCTTTGAAGCTTTTTAATGGTTGTCAATGGTGGAGAATCAAACACCTTCAAAATTATTTGATTGACAATTTGAATTCGAACACCAACTGTGCAACATGAAAGGAAACTTCTAAGTTAAAATTTTATATTAAAATAATTGAATTCATTGATAAAAAAAGGATAATAAGCAGAGAAAACGAAGGAAGAAAAATTGGGTAAAGAACAAAGATGGAGAGAAAGAGAAAGAGACGGAGAGAGAGAAACAGATACACACACACACACACACACAGAGAGAGAGAGCGCAGAGATACAGAAATAATTGATTCCCTATTCAATTCCTAATATAAAGAGATACTCGTTAATAATAATTTATATATAATTGATAAATTATATATGCCCATGTAATTAAGTTAAAACCTGATTAGGGAGGGTAAATAAGTTTCATATATAGTATATGAAGGTAAAAATCCCTTTTAATAATACTTATGTTTGGTTAATACATGAAGTTAGTGTACTTAGGTTGTTAAGTTGCTTTCCAACTTGTTGGTGTACTTTCTTTCATTCATGATGAATTCC